AAAAAACAGTTCTGATCTGGCAGTTGGATTAGGGATGATCCAGCAGAGTTCCTGGGAAATCCAGGCTCTTGGAGACTCCTTGGAACAGCAGGAACCTCCCTTGGGTCCCCCCACAGCCCCACACCCAGAACCTGCCCCACCTGTGGTCTCACCTCATCCTAAACAAAGAGACAAGCAGCAGAACAAAAAGATGATTAGAGTTTTAATTACCTCCCCGTGCTTCTCCTCCCAGCCCTTTGCATAACGCTTGCCTAAAATTGCAGGTACTTTACCACAAGCAATTATGCTAATGTCTGGAAACAGAGCTAATTGAATGGCAAAGAACACGCAAGAAAACGCAATCAAATTTAAATGGAACAACCACAGTAAGGAAATACTGTATTTTCCAGAGCAATGCRAAGTCTGCTGTTAAAAACAGTCGTGTTCAGCTTTAATTTTTTTTTTTTTAATCTATTCTAAATCCTATCTCAGCTTCAGAATTAACTGAAACTCCTGCACAGCAGTCACAGAACTGCTCCTCATTTCCAGGTAACCCAGGGCAAGTCCTGCTCTGACTGCACCTGGGGAGAGGAGGAGGAAATCTCTCCTCTGTGCAAAGAAACTAATATGGTAATGAAACTCCGGGCTCTAAAATTCCAGGTTTAATGACTACTACCAACATGGGGGAAAAAAAAAAGATCTAATCCTTCCAAGGTTCCAGTTACCTAACTATAATTGCTGTAACTCATCAAAATAACTGCAACAGTCCTCACTGCAACTGGTAATGAAAAGTATTCAATTACATAAATAGAAATATCCTTTACATAGAAGTTGGTCTGTTTGGCTTCTTTTTTTATAGAGGGAAAAAAAAAAAAAAGGACTTCTTCATTTCACTGCCCCCAAAGAGACTCAGTTGAAGTCAGGCTGTGTTTGGTTGCTTAAAATTCCGCTTATTTTGCAACTGCCAGGCTACAGCAAAATATTAATGATTCAGCACAGGCACTGGAGCTGAAGCACACACGGAGGTGTCAGTACAAGCAAACAAGGTATCTGTGCATTTACATGGCAAAAGTTCTGGCCACAATAAAAACTCTCCGTTTTAAGCACAAGTACACACTGCTCCAACTGCTGAMACACACTGGAAGGCTCCMCCAGACTTCCAAAAGCTCTGAGACYCAYTGRTGACACTCTGAGACACTGATTATTTCAATCTGAAAATGCCTAAAACTCCCCCTCCAGCGAGCTGCACGCTGCCAGGCAAGCAGTAAAGCTTTGGGACTTTTCTGCTGCAGCCAGAAAGAGAGCAGTAAAAGCTCAACCAGCCYAAATATGCCCCCATTGCACCAGTTTTCCTGGAAACTGGGTACTTTATTCACTACAGTCTCATTTCAGGCAGGAATAAAAACTCCTCAAGATTTCCCAGCCCATTCCCCATTTTCCAAGAAAGGAGAAGCTGTGTTATCACAGCCAATCCATTCCTCAAATCTGCTGGACAAAGATCTCAGCCCATCATGAAATCCACTCTGCTTTATCTAACTCACCCAACCACTAATTAGTGGTTTAACTAGTTTTAAATTTTATTCATATTCAGATTTTTTTTTTTTTTCACTGACACATTAAAGCTCTGGAAAACAGATTAACCTCATCATTTCTGCAACAGCTTTTCTGGTTTTGAATAATGTTCAACCTCACTTCTCCCTTCCACTGCCCACATCACAACCTATTTCAATACTTCCCTGTAGGTCAGATTTAACAAACTGCTCAGCAAGGGCTGCTCATTCCCACTGCTCTTTCCTGGACTCTTCCCAGCAGGTCCATGTATATTTTTTTTTTAATCCAGTGCCAGGATGGACACAACATTGTGCCAAAAGAGGATTATTTCACATGCCTCACCGGCTACAACACTGATTTTATATTTAGACTTGTGATCTAGCTGAGCCAACACAGCCCAGGCTGTCACAGCCAAGTCCCCACCCCGAGGGTCCCCACACTGTGTCTGTGTGGTTGCTCTGGCACAGGTGGACAGTGAAAACACTGCAGGATTTCTCTGGGAGTGCTGCACTTTCCCCCTCCCCTGTTTTATGAAGTTTTTGTCCTCGGAGTGTCACAGCAGAACGCAGAGGTTCTCACAGTCACTAAACTCCAATCTCTGATGTTCCCACACAAATTCCCTATGTCCACCTTTCCATGRAACACTGATTAACTGCTCCACAAATCCATTTTCCCAGCAGCTTCACCCCCTGCACACAGCAGTTTCATCCCCCCATGTTGAGAGCAAAAACATGATGGCAGAGGGTCAAGACAACACATCTGGGATCTTTTCTCTTGCTCCCTTATCAAGGGGCTCATTACCTCTGCAAAGCAAAAAAAAAGTCTAACTGATGTGACACATTATATTGTTGACAAGCCCATACCAAGTAATATAATTTTCTCCTCGATGTTCCCAAGTAATTTAATTATTTTCCCTGTAGTTTTCCAGAACCTGAAGTTGACAGATTGCCTTGCTTCATCTTCCTCCTTTTCACAGCATTTCATCTTCTTGAAGGCCTAAATTTCACTAAGTCCTGTCCATCCTCCAGTGTTCTTCAGACAATCTACAGCACTCATTTCACAGAGAAATGTAAAAAACCAAACTGATCTTGAAAATATCGACACGAGTACCATTTCACTGAGGCATGACTTACCAATTTTCTGATGAAAGATCTTGTCGAAGGTTAATTCGCCCCTTTCCTCGAGGTATTTCTGCATAACACTACGGATACTGAAAGAAAAAAAAAAGAAAAGGGAGGGGGGGAAAAAAAAGAGAAGTTACTTGAAATTGCTTTTTTTAAACTTTTGAAGAAAGGTCAGGTGGTGGAGCCCTGGCCTGGCCTCGAGTGAGCTGATCCCTGGGGTCACTTCCCAGGGGACACCCTGGATTTTTTATTCCTGTCTTAGGTTTGRTTTGAACCATAAAATAACTGCAAAAGCCACCCTGAGCTGCCCAGGATCAGCCACACAACGAACCAACAGCAGCTCCATCATGCCCTGCTCGGCTGCAGCACACTTAATATCTGCTTTGCCTAATTTATAACGTCACAATCATTCACTTAAACTGTATTAACAAAGATTTCCTTTATTTGTCAAGTAACCTCAATACTCATCATAATATAATGCCCAGTAAAAACTGCATATATACAACACAAGTACATAAATTTTTAAATCAATGCAGGCCAGCAGTGCTGGGCCTTGGTAAAGCAACTCTTCTGTCACGGCATCAAGTCAAAATTCCACTGGACTTATCTCTGTTTCCAATTTTAAAATCAATATTTTCATACAACTATTTATTACTATAATTATACTGCYTATTATTAAAATGGTACTATTTATTATTATAAAAAACAAGCCTGTACAAAGCACTCATGCTCTAAACAAGGCCATTAAAYATCACTCATATTTCTGCAGTAGCAAGGCTGAGCATCAAATCCTTGCCAAGCTCAGGGACGTCCCCTCTTGTGTGCTCACAGGGATCCCATCATCAGAAATTCCACGACACCTCCCAAATACTGACAAACATCTCCTCTGTGGGGGGAGGAAAGTATCCACTCTCCTCCTCAAAGGAAGACCTGAGACACAAAATCTGAATGATCTGACCAGAAAAAATGTCTCTAATAAAGCCAAGGACTTTGCTGGAAAGCCCTAAACCCTAATGTAGGAAAATATCCTATTAATAGCTTCTCTGTGTATCTCCAAATCCCACATGGAGCACGGATCTCTGAGCAGTGTGATCCAAAGCAAGAGCTCTGGAGGCCAACCACCACATCAAGTCAGACAAGAACTGGGAGGGCTAAACACTGTTAATCAGGTTGGAGATCATAAATTATTCAGTGACGAACTTGCTGTTTATTTGCTCATTAAGAACTGGGTCTGCTCTCTGTGTTTTTTAACAATCTAAACAAAATACTGATTTTAAATGAAGAGGAAGGAGTAAAGTAGAGATTGTGGAATCACAGAATGGTTTGGATTGGAAGGGATCTTAGAGAATACCTTGTCTCACCCCCTGCCATGGGCAGGGACAATTTACACTGTCCCAGGTTGATCCAAGCCCTGCCCAACCTGGCCTTGAACATTTCCAGGGATCCAGGAGCAGCCACAGCTTCTCTGGRCAACCTGAGCCAGAGCCTCCCTATCCTCAYTCAGGAAGAAATTTTGGATTTTTTCCTAAAATTCAACCTAAATCTTTTGCCAAACAGACCTACCCCTCATCTCCCTGTGCTTACAGAGAGCCCACTGGAGATGAATGACCCTGGAATGAGTTCCCAGAGCCCACAGCTCCCCCTTTTCCCCTTTTCCCCTGGCACTGCCATCCCGTTCCCACTGGCCACCAGACCAGCAGTAAGAGAATAAGCCTTTTTCACAATAATGACATCAAGAAAGCTTTCCTCTGCTCCAACAGGGCGCACTGCAAGAAATTACATCAACAGATCTTCAGTCTAGACAATGGGAAGAGATAATGAAAATTTAACGTGTGACCGGAGCGCCCAGGAAAACAGCGATTGTGTAAGGACTGAACCTCTCCAGCACCTCCTCCTCCTCCTTTCCTGACATCCTGCACTTCTGGTCTGATGGATAACGTCAAAGGAACAAAATGTCTTTTGCAGCTACGGGATCTGAACAAATCTGTAAAATGATCACAGGCTGCACGAGTCCACGCTACATTCCAGCTCCTCAACAACCCTTTAAAATAATTTCTGCTTATCCATAGGAAGAAAGAGGAATAAATCACATGGTGTGGATGATGACTATCCAGAATAATCACCTCCTAATGCTTACATGGAAGTTACAGGTAGAAATTCCCTGAAATTGAAATTCAGTTCAAAGAACTGAAGCAGAGTCCATGTATCATTCAGAAGGATGGAAAATTTTAAAATGGAGCTTAGCRCATTCCACAAACAGGAAAAAAGATTCCCTCTCTGCTTTGGTCTATGGACTCATTAGTTGCCCTACACGTCAACAATCTGGGATTAAAAGCTGCATTTCACAGAAACACAGCCATTTCTGAAAAGCTTTCCCTGGCCAGAGATGCCATCACCACAAACCACGCACTAATGCAAGAAGTGGCCGTTTCTGCACGAGTTCATCTCAGTTCACAGCATGATCCACCTTAATAGCAGCACTCACAAGGAGCAGAAATAAAAGTTGGCTAAAAATGAAATCCAGGGAGACTTCAGAAACAAAAGCACATCCAACTGGACTGCAGCAAAACCTTTTGTTCAAATATTTTTTTTTTTCATTTCAAAGAGGACAAAAACRGTAAACAACTAAAAAATTCAGAAACATTTCATTTGCCATCCACATATCATAAATCAACTGAAACACCAGGACAAGTATGTTTAGGACCATCAGGCCTAAAATTTGGTGAGATATGCAATGTGGACTCTGGGTATCTTTAGCTTCCCAGAAAGGGTGGTCAGGCACTGGAAGGGGCTGCCCAGGGAGGTTTGGAGTCCCCATTCCTAGAGGTRAAACCCAGTGCTCTGAGTTGGGTGACAAGGTGGGGATTTGGCTCAGGTTGGACTCAATGGAGAGCTTTCCCAACCTGAATTATCCCGGGATTCTGTGATTGCTGGTTTAACTGGGTCCACAGGGAAGCCCTTTGCCACTGGCCCTGGGGAGATGCCCAGCAGTGCCTGGGTGTGGGCAGCTGAGCTCTCCTGTATCTCTGACAGCCCCTGGGTGAAGCTGCCCTCAAAGAAGGAGCTGAACAAACACTCCARGCCTGCAGAGCAGTTCAAAGCACACTGAGCAGGTAGAAGATGACTTATCTGCATCTTCATCCAACCATGAACTCTGTGAGCAGCACAGGTTGCTCTAACCTGATCAGCTCCTCCACCTGCCCAGAAAATGGATTTGTTTCAATMATGAGCTTGAAGAATCTGTTAAAAGGAGCTCCAAGCTGCATCTTGGAGCTCTAGTTACTCCAGCTTTGATCAAAGCAACCTGCTGAAAAGCACTTGAAGGTTAAACTCCATTCTGGAATGCAACAGCTCTCGCTGTCTGCGAGCAGCCTGGCAGGGCACAGGCAGCAACTGCAGCGCCAAGGTCGGCACAGGAGGGAAATATCTGCTTGAAAACATGTCTGAAAAGCTCAGAGGAAAACACATTATGTCCTTTCTAACACAGAAAAGGCATGCACGGCRAGAGCATCCATGATCCTCCCTCCCAGGAGAGTTCCAGCAGGAACAGCAAACCAGGAGRAGCCTTGGAGAGGAGCTCAGCCAAAGCCAGGACTCCTCCTTGGCTGCAGCACTGGACAACAACAGCCACTCCTGGAACAGTGACAGCCTGGGACTTCAAGGAGAAACATGCCAGGCAGGAGAAATGAAACGTCTGCCAGATGCAAAGATGGCCACTGGAACTGAGGACCCATCCATGGGGCAGCCGGAGCACAATCCCATTGGATGTGGGAATGCACAAAACCCAGGAGTTACAGAGGAGAGAGAGGAGAACAAACAGCACTCGTTCTGAAACTTCCAAGAAAGATGGAGAGGGACTTTTTCCAAGAGCATGTAGCAACAGGACAAGGGGGAATGATTTCAAACTGGCAAAGAGGAGGTTTGAATTAGGTATTAGGAAATATTTCTTCCCTGTGAGGGTGGGCAGGCCCTGGCACAGGGTGCCCAGAGCAGCTGTGGCTGCCCCATCCCTGGAAGTGTCCAAGGCCAGGCTGGATGGGGCTTGGAGCAACCTGGGGTAATGGAAAATGTCCCTACCCATGGCAGGCAGGTTGGAATGAGATGAACTTAAAGGCCCCTCCCAACCTAAACCATTCCACGATTCTATAAAAGTTCTGCTATTCATTTCAAGGATTTTGTCCCTGAAGTTCTTCTGAAAGCAGCTCACATCTCAGAAAAGGAAAGGGCACAGAACAAGGCAGTGGGGTGCATCCTTAYATACAATACTCCTACTATTGGAACTAGGTCAGGAAGCTCCTTACTACTGGCCTTCCTACTACTGGATCTTAGAGGAGCTTTGAATTATTTATCATCAGAGCAGATGATTTTTTTTTCTTGCAAATCAAAAAGAGTTCGGATTTTTGGGAAGTTAGCTGGTGTACAGGTGCACACACGCACACCACAGTTTGGAAAAGCATTAAAGAACTAACCTGCACTAAGAATGAGCAGTTCCAGTCATTAATCTATTCTCCAACAGGCCGAAACAGAAACRGAAAAACAAAATTAAGAATGAAACAGCAGCTTCACAGAGACCGAGGAGAGCAGAGAGTCCGGGATTTAACCCTACCAACATTTCCTGTATCGTCACGAGCAGCTCATAAAGTTTATCTGCTCAGATCCCCAGTCTGTAAAATAAAGCTGGATTTATTTTTTCCCTCCTCTTTGTCGTCAGAGCAGGTACCATCCCCTCTGCCACGTGTGGCTCCTCTCTCCAACTGCACACTAAGCTCCTGATGGCTCCTGGCACAACCAAATTGATAATCATTTCAAGAAAATGCCAGATATTCATCAACTCCACGGCCAGTGCTTTGATTTCTAAGGTCTGACAGTGCCTGTCCACTCTCTGCACTCCSAAAATCCCATCTCCACACCACAGCCACCTTCATTTATTCCTTTGTCAGGGGTAATAAAAACTGAACACTCACAAACCATTGAACCCATTTCATTCTGCTTCCTCTCAGATTGCASCCAGCTCAAAGTTCAGCAGAAGTCAATACTTCTCCAAATGACTGGGCTCTCAGTGCTGTAAAAGCTATTTCACACGTTG